AGCAGGCTTCATGATTTTACAAGCAGGTAGTAAGAGCAATTTCACTTGATAGRTATTGATTTTTGATTATAGGGCTAATATATACAGAATACTACAGAATATATGCAGGCCACAGAAACCATATTAGTTAAAGTGAGCTTCTCAACAGCCCTGAACCATAATGATACAAGAGACTCTAAGAGCCTGGGAAATCTAACCATGTGATATTTTTCCAAACCTCAGTTTTATTGCAGTTCCTACTGACTTCACTTAGTTGTGTATGATGTTATTCAGGAAGCACTATCATTGTGCCATAAGTAAAGATGTTCTTTTCCATTGCATGAAGACCTCTTTTCAAATAAAAGATGGCTGCATTTTGTGGCTGGACTCTGGGCCCACAACTATAGCCCTGCTAGAGGCAAATGTAAAACTTATGCTACCTTCTATAGGAGGAAGTTCAAAACCTAGGTCTATGGGGAAAAATATTTTAAAACCAATCAAAATTGTATGCTTATGTTTTGTTATTGATTCTGCATCAGGATTCTGTATTAAGAACTAATTCTGATTCATTGATTCTGTATTAGAAACTAAGATATTGTTAAAAACTGTATTGACTGTGCTACACTATCTCTCTTCAGATACTTAGAAACTTGTTTTTCCCAGGAGAAGGCACAAGAAGGGGCAATTGCTCATTTTGTCTAACAAACTCTCAGCTGTCTCTCTCTTGTACGGGAAGGCATGAGTATTCAGAGAACTAACAGCTGCATCCACAGGTAAGAGGGATACAAATAAACCATATAGGCTGCAACAAGAAGTACTCATCTTTTTAATACTACCAACCAGGACTTAAGCAGTACTACATAAATTATGCAAGTAAGGAATTGAAAGGTATAAAAGACATGAAAGGGAAAAATAGAGATGTGTGAGGACCATCCAGATGCACTACAAGGTTAATGTGCTACTTGGGACATCAGTAATAACACGGCAGGAAAAAAGACATTTATATGAGAGAAGACAGGAGAATTTATTATCTGAAGTGTATTTATCCTCATACTTATTTTCACTCTAAGAGGTGTAAGTGTAAACCACAATCATTATCATTTAAGTTTTGCCAAAGACAGGAAAAAGGTCTAAAGGTCTAAATAAGGCCTCAGTTGCACAACTAAGTATGCTTTTCCTCTGGCCGACAGAAAAGTCTCTCGCTGCTGGAAAGCAGCATCATGAGAACATGTATCAGTGAAGCAAACTGTGATAGAGGGAGCCCCGCGATGGATGACAGCATCAGGAGGGAGCGACAGTGGGATGTGTGGATGATATTTGCAGCTTCACCATAGTCTGAACATGTGACCGGGAAGAGCATGGTCTGCATATGTGACCACAAACAAGGAGCCCTGCAGGTCCTTCCATCTCTATCATGGACATGACAATACAGAGTTACAATAGTGACACTTAACATATTTATATCCTTCTGCAAGAGACTTATCAAGTTCAGTATGATTGCTTGCAAGCGTGAAAGGTTGACCTCATGCCCTCTGTGGCGCCACAAGTCCCATTGCACCTATAGCTTCTGTCCATTCTATATGGATATACAAATCCCGCTAGATTCCACAGAATCTACATAGACTCTAGATCTTGTCTCCCTCCCCATATGTAGTGCATGTATATATAGACACACGTATATACAGACACTCAGTAGAGCAGCAGAACCAAGGAGAACAGGCTAAACACTGCAGCAGATGAAGTTATTATCACAAGATCACAGAATGGTTAAGGTCGGAAGGAACTTCTAGAGATCATATAGTCCAACAGCCCTGCTCCAGCAGGGACACAGGGCACAGGGTGGCAGCCAGGTGGGTTTGGAAGATCTCCAGAGAAGGAGACTCCACARCCTCCCTGGGCAGCCTGTTCCAGGGCTCTGTGACCCTCACAAGAACTTCTGTTCTTCCTCATATGGAGATGGAATTTCCTGTGTTTCAACTTATACTCATTACSCCTTGTCCTATCTCTTGTCACCACCAAGAAGAGTTTGTTCCCTTCCTCCCTACATTCTCCCCTCAGCTATTTATACATATTGATAAATCAATAAGTCATCAATAATGGTAAGACCTCTCAATCTTCTCTAGCTTCTCWAGCTCTTCAGGTAGCTCCAGACTGTTTCAGTGCATTCACAGTTACTCTCACCACTGTTCATTGTCCAGAGGGACCCTGATCAAAATTCACATCCTTCATGTGTAGCTTTTTGTGCTATGATGTATTATCAGTCTACATGAACAGACAGTGTTTAGTCTCTGTAAAATCTAATAAAGAAGACATATTGCAGCACAGAGCCGCGAGTTCCTAAAGCATCTACTTTGAAAAAACCTGCAGTGTAAGTTTGTAATTGCAGCTCAGTTCATTTCCTGAGAAAGAGATAATGCTGTAGAAGAGTAGATGCTGTAAGGCCCCTCTTTGTAAGCCAGAGATTCATACTGCAGTAAGCTTGAGAATATGCCATTGGTATCGTCTTAGATGCCACAAGACAAAGAGGTTTCTTAAATTACTGGAGGAATAAATTAGCTCTTATAGCATGTTTTGAAACTTCAATTGCATTCTGTAGCAATCAGCAAATCCCCAAGTGTATATAATATCCCATTCCGAAAGCCATTGCTTCCTTCATGCTACTGAAAAATATCTTAAATAAAAATCCTAAGAGTTCAGTCTTGGATATATTGTCCATTTTATTGTTTTTATAGTTTTTTTTAAAGTCTTTTTGTTTTCTAATCAAAAATTTAATACTTCAGTGAAATGTGTTTTTCTTGGGGGCTTTGTGCATTATCTAAAGCATGTTTGTGTGTAAGAGCGAAGAATGCAAATCAGACTCCAACTTTATTTTGTAATGCCAGGTGAATTTGGAAAAGACAAGATTTACAATTTGTTTCTGATGAGGCCAATAGGAGATAAAAGCTAATGCTTTGCAGTACCTGTTCGGATAACAGTAGCGAGGCAATTCACAGCTGCAGAGAAACCCCTTATTTTGCTTTCATAAATAAACAATATATCCCCTCTCCAAACAGCAGATGAGCTACAATTTTGAAACAGGAAAATTTCAACACAAAAACATGTGAGGGAGTCAACAGAGTAACAAGGAATTTAAAAGCATATACATGTATCTTTGTCACTGCAGCCACCTGACAAAATGCTGCCTTTAGCCTTGCAGCCGGCAGAGCGAAGCCCTTCAGCTGCACATTCCCAACCCTGGGACACAGCTTAGCACCATGAAGTGAGTTAGCTAAAAATAACCCTTCAGGCAGCTCTTTCCTATATGATCAGTGGGCAGTAGCAGGGGAGTCTACGTGTAGTCACCTCTACTGCCCGTTTTGAAACCAAACATTGCACTGCCCTCACTGCCTGGGTCATCGTGCCTTGTCCTTACTGCACGTGTAGCCAATCTATGTTCTTGAGGGGGTACCATGCAAGATCACCGACATATCTCCAGTCTGGAAATAGAAAACAAGTCTTTCCACTCAGGGCAGAGAAAATAAAGCAGACATCATTGCTGACCATTGCTGATGCTTCATCATTTTGCTGTGAGCAAAGATACAGCACCAATGGGGAGCAGAGAGGCACCAAAGCCAAGACCTATACGCAGTGGGGATGTAGCTGGGCAAATTGCTTTTTTTAAAAAAGATCTTTAAGTTTTGATGTTTTGCACATTCAGGCTGCTGCTCCAAAGCCCGCTAGGACCCTCTCTAGTTGTGCTTTGGAAAACTAGCAGGGGAAGCTGATTTATTTCAGAGAAAACTCTGTGCAACCCTTCTGCTGATAATGAGCTAAGTCAGTTAGCTCATTGCATGCTGGTTTATGGGCATTTCCAGGGAAAAAGAAAAGGTTCTGCCATACTCATGCARGAAGACGCACTTCACCTAGTACCAAGCCTGCTCCTCAAAACCAATAAGAAGCAGGATAAAATGCCTCCAGTAACTGGAAAATTGGAGCGTAATCCTGACAGATGCCATATCCATTGTTCTTGTTTAGTTTGATCTAAGGATTCCAATGTATATTTGGAAAGACAGCTTTTTTAAATACCTCACGTTTAGTAACTCAGACAAATTCAATAGTAAAGCCACCAATGTTTATTCAAAATTGATTAGTCTGGCTTTCAACTTTTTCACTGAAAAACAGGAACATTTAATGTATAAAATAAAACATTTGTTGATAACACTCATTTTGTTTTATAAAACACCTTTATTGTAAAAAACATGTTGTGAAAAAAATCCACTCGTAAGATCATATTCTCATTTTTTTATTTAGGGTATTTATTATTCTCAGTTAATATTTTATATTTTTAYGGTCATTTCTCTGTTGAGAGGCTCCAAAATTCAGAAACGCAGCCTGTTGCAGGCCCCAAACCCTCTCCAATTATTTGCTCCCCTTAATTAGCAGGGTTTTTATCCTGCCCAGTCCTTTTCCCTCCCTCTCCCAAGACGGGAGTCTCTTGGGGCTGCTCTGTGTGGGGGGCTGGCATTGGGGTGAATGTCACTAGGCATAGAAAACACGCAATGAACACACACACAAAAATAACCCTGGGGAGCCTAGGGCTCTGATTTCTTGCCGTAGGTGGCCTTTATTTCGTTGGTTGGTTATTATTTATTTGTTTACTGCTGGGCTCGGGCCGCGCGCGGCCTGCGGGGCAGGGCTCGGCCGAGGCGGCCGCCGCGCGGGCAGCGCCG